ATGTGTAAAATGGATACCAAGATGCATAGTGCCACGGAGATATCGTAAGATCCGTTTAACAGCAATGAAATGATCTTCAAGAGGAGCATGCATAAACTGACAAACCTGATTCACGGAATAGGCTATGTCAGGTCGAGTAAAGGTTAGATATTGAAGAGCCCCAACGATACTCCGATATTTGAAAGGATCTGAGAATGAGGGACTGCCATGAGTCAACAGCTTGTGATTAGGATAGCATGGAGTAAGGCACGGCTTGCAATGGAACATGTCTGCCTTGTGTAACAAATCCATGATATACTTGGATTGATGAACAAAAATACCACTGGAACGATACTCAATCTGTAAACCAAGAAAATAATGCAGAAGACCAAGATCTTTCATATCAAACTCTGCAGTCAACTGTTGTATCACACTTTGAACCCCAGCAACACTATTGCCTGTAAGAATAATGTCGTCCACATACAACAAAAGAACAACAATAGATTGATTCTCATACTTGACAAACAATGATGGATCAGCATAAGAGGATTTGAAGCCCAAAGTGAGAAGAAATTTGGTAAAACGATCATTCTAGGCTCAGGGAGCCTGCTTCAACCCATATAGAGATCGTTGGAGTTTACACACATGTGTGGGATGAAGAGGATCTACAAAACCCTGAGGTTGAGCCATATAGACTTCCTCGTCAAGAAAGCCATGTAAAAAATCATTTTTTACATCCAATTGTTTGAGTTTCCAGCCATTAGAAGCAGCTAAAGAAATGAGAAGTCTCACTGTGGTAGGTTTAACCACAGGACTAAAAGTCTCATAATAATCTAACCCAGCTTCTTGTGAAAATCCCTTAGCCACTAACCTGGCTTTGTACCGAGCAACAGTACCATCAGGATGTTTTTTTATCTTATAAATCCATTTACACCCAACTAAGTTCTTATCGGGAGGAAGGGGAACCAAGGTCCAAGTTTTCTGCTGAAGAAGAGCATCAATTTCTTCCTGCATTGCTCCTCGCCACTCTGACAATTTACATGCTGCAGAGTAGAATTGAGGTTCTTGAGCACCAGATTGAACGTCAACAGAAAAGGCCTGCTTTTTCTTAAAAATGCCCGACTTGGATCGAGTCTGCATAGGATGAGAGTTAACAGCAGCAACAGAAACGGGTTGCAACTCAGAAACTTGAGACAGATGAGTATCAGGATGTAACTCAGACATGACGGGACCAGAAATAGCTGCACTGGACATGTGATCCATGGAAATATCCCCTGGTAGTGAGGGAATGATACCAGAAGAAACAAACTCACTTGGTGCTGAAGAACATACGGGAGGACTATGCTGAGAACTTGAATCCCTGGAGAACACTTATGGAAACGGTATAGATGCTAAAGGAGGATGATGAAAAGTATTGAAGGGTACGGTGGAAGATATGGAAGCCACCTTGGAACTATAGTCAAAATGACTAGCCATATGAGTCGCAGGAAAATGACTTTCATCAAATAGAACATGTCGAGAGACAATTAGTTTATTGTCTTTAGGATTAAAGCAGATAAACCCTTTATACTGAGCAGCATATCCTAGAAATATGCATTCACTAGTCTTTGGTGCAAGCTTATGAGATCTATAAGGCTTCAATGACGGATAACAAGCACAACTAAAAATCTTCAAGTGATATAGTTTGGGTGAAGAATGATATAACATTTCAAAGGGAGACTTCATAGACAAGACCGGTGTAGGCATTCTATTAATAAGATATACTGCTGTGGCACATGCATGGTACCAAAACTGAGGAGGAAGACAAGCTTGTTGAAGAAGAGTGATAGCTGTCTCGGTAATATGCCGATTTTTCCTTTCTACGAGCCCATTTTGTTGAGGAGTGTAAGGGCAAGAATTATGATGCAAAATACCTTTGTCCTTAAGAAAATTCTGAAAATTAATCACAATATACTCTCCACCACCATCACTTTGCAATATTCTGATATGAACATTAAAGAAATTTTGCACAAAAGCTTGAAATTGGACAAACAGACCAAAAACAGCAGCTTTATTCATGATAGGAAATATCCATGTGTACCTTGTACATTCATCAATAAAGGACACATAATACCGATATCCTTCAATAGACAAACTAGGTGACGGACCCCAAACATCAGTATGAATGACTTCAAAAGGAACTACAGACTTTGAAGCCAAAGAAGGAAAAGGTAGATTGGCAAATTTGCCTTGTAAACAAGCTTTACAAGTATAGGAAGAATTGAGACACTTAAAAGAAATATCAGCCTTGGAAAGAGCTGCCTTGATTACTGAAGGAACAGGATGACCCAATCTGCAATACCAGAGTGCAGAATTTATTCTTTGTCCAATATATGTTGTAGGAGAAACAGGAGAAGACTTCATGACTGGTAAAGGATAGACAGCATTGTTACTCAATCCTCGATACAGAACTTCCTGAGTGACCTTGTCCTGTATGCACACAAAAGACTCATCAACAATACACCTACAATTATTATCCTTGCACAGTTGATGCATGGACAATAAATGTTGTGATAATTGAGGTACATGTAAGACAGATTTTAGACAAAGATTATGAGACTGTAATGGAAGAGTAGAATGCCCAATATGAGCAATATGTAAACCTTCTCCATTAGCACCAGTGACAGTATCAGAGGATGAGTAAGGAGCAGCCATTTGAATGTTAGACAAATAAGAAGTCATGTGATGTGTGGCCCTTGAGTCAAGTAACCAATACTCTTGCTGTGGTGCAGAGGGAGAAGAAGTATACCGTGCAGTCATAGCAACCGGAGAATGATTTTGAGAGCTCATCATTATAGGATGAAACTGAGGAGGATGAACCATATGGGCAGGTGGAAATGGTGCAGGAAAAGTAGCCTGTTGAGAGGGTTGAAATTGCTGTGGAGAGAACCCTTGTGATGATGAAGAAAACTGGGGAGGCACCATCTAAGAAAAACCACTATTTCGATCAAAACAAGTGGCAGCAGTATGCCCTTTCCGATTGCAAATTTGACACCCTTTTTGAAAACAATGAAGAGCATTATGACCTTTCCTATTACATATTTGACAAATCTACAACGGTTGATACACTTGCTCAGTAGGCAGAGGAGAATGGAGAGATTGAAAAGAAGAGCCCTGATGAAAATTATTTGATGAAGACTGCTGTGGAAATGAAGCACCAGTTTGTTGAGGTTGCTGAAAATTATTATAAAATTTCTTGCCTTTCCCCTTTGGTTTGAAGTTATTCCCCCTGAAATTGTTATAAGTCCCTGAACCACCCTGAGATACACAAGCAAGATGACTATTCATCTGGAACATTTGATTAGGAAATGGCATTTGTTGAAACACTGGGGTTGAAGAGATCGGAAAATGAGAACCATTGAAAAAATGCTGAGATGCATTATGTGCGGCACCACCAGATGATCCCCCAGCATCATAGACTGAATTAGAAGCATACATAGCAGACATTATAGGAGCCTGTTTAATAACTTCGTCCAAAGTAGCCTCTTCAGCTTTCAATTGGGAGCGCAATTCTTTTAAAGACACAAGATTCTCGCTGCCCCTTATAACTGCCTTGATAGTATTAAACTCATGTGGAAGACCTTTAAGAGCAATAATTACAATATCCTCATCTGAAATAAACACTCCAACAGCAGCAAGTTGATCCCTACAGTCCTTGATTTGCTGCAGATACAAATCAATAGACTCTGACCCTTTCTTTATGTTCTGCAGGTCAATCTTCATTTGAACAATACTGGTTCTAGTCATGTTAGAAAACCGTTCCCTCAGATTATTCCACATTTCATGTGAACTTTGACAACCAATAACACAGGACAGAGCAGCATTGGACAATGTAGCAGTGATGAGAGTCATGAGAGCTTTATCATGAATCTTCCCTACTTTGTAATCATCAGTAATATGATGTGAATTAGTAACAGTTTCGTCCTCAGAATCAGAATCATGATATTTATCTGGGCAAGGAATGGATCCATCCACAAAACCAAAAATTCCATTTCCCTCTAATAAAAGTCCCATTTGAAAATTCCAGGTAACATAATTGGAATCATCCAATTTGACAGTGACAGTGTTACCAACACTAGGAATCAGCGAAGAAATTGGTGACTGAGTAAGTGCTAATTGAGCAACTGTAACCATGACGAGAACTGTAAAAGATCAACGTATCGTCAAGACTCAGAAAACAACCAAAACACACAATTTGTCAACAGAATTCTCCACAGACGAACAACAATACGTATGGAAGCAAGAGGCACATCAAGAAACCAGATCAAGCAACGCAATAAACTCCAATCGAGATAATATCAAGAAAATCTCGACAATCCAACTGCAGCAACAATTGCAAATGAGCGAGACAAAATGACGATAAAACTACACCACAATGCCTTCAAGAAACACACGACATCAACAATTAACGAAGGAATTTCAAGAAGAACAATCACCGACCGACAGACGAAAAAGCCCCAAATTTTCTAGGGTTTCAGCCACCGACTGAGATCCTCAACGAAACGAGAACAACTATTACCAAGATGAAAGCACAAACAAGACGAGCGGAAGCACAGAGATCAGGAACCGACGAAGGTGTTACCCTTTGCCGGCGAAGATACCATGTCAATAGTAATGAAGGAAAGTACAGAGAGAAAATGTAGAGAGAGGAAGTAGAGAGAGAGTAAAAGAATGTTATGTATATTCCAAGATATCAGTCTCAATCTGTTTACATCCCTTACTTATATATAAATACAACCACCTTATAACTAACTCCATATTCTTTACTCTACTAATGACACCTGGCACTAACCTAAGTCATTCCCTAACATCTCTCTCTCTCTCTCTCTCTCTCTCTCTCTCTCTCTCTCTCCCCCACATCTCTCTCCTCTAACATTAAACTGTAGCAACTAGAAAATGCTTTAATTTCCATAACCTCTAACATTAAACAGCTAAGAACCTCTCTCTCTCTCTCTTCTTCTTCTAACCCACCAGGCACTCAAAGCAGAAGCAACAAGGAACTAGCTCATGGTTGTCTTCTAAAAAGCTTCCATCTTTTCGACTCCAAGAAGCTCAAAAACTCACTGAATTTTCAAACCCCAACAGAAAACCAATTCATGGGTTGCTGTGAATCCAAAGTTTCAGAGAACCAACAACCAGAGAAAATCCAAACCCAGCATCTAGCTCACAACAGCCGGACCACGACCCACCACACGAATCCCACCTCCGAATCCGACCTGGAAACCGGCGGAGCCCCACCCTTCTCCGAATTCTCCTTCACCGACCTCAAAGCCGCCACCAACAACTTCAGCTCTGACTACATAGTATCGGAGAGCGGCGAGAAGGCCCCTAATCTTGTTTACCAGGGCCGGCTGCAGAACCGCTGTTGGATCGCCGTCAAGAAGTTCACCAAGATGGCGTGGCCTGATCCCAAGCAGTTTGCGGTGAGCTTGGCTTTTGTGTTGTTGCTTCATTTGGGTTTTTGGTATTTTTTGGTGGGCTTTCAATCGTTTTGCGAATTGGGTCTATGCATGATTTGTGGGTTTTGGTTTTGCAGGAGGAAGCTTAGGGTGTGGAGAAGCTACGGCATCGGCGGCTTGCGAATTTGATACGCCCAAAATTTTTTTGGATAAGTTTTATTTTTTATTTATTTTTTATTTTTAATCTACTTTTTAATATCTATGTGGCGTGAAGTCATTATCCACGTAGATGTCACGTCATCAGTTAACGGTAAATTTAACAGCAACCTTAAAGGATGTATGAAAGTGTTCCAAAATTATAACTTTATATGTACCACTTTGGGATGAAAAAAATTTCATGTACCAAATGTTGAAAACTAATAAACTTTAGGATAATAAATTGAGATTAACCTTAAAAAATAAATAAAAAATGCAAAGGATAACTGGTTTTGGCTTTCGCTAAGATTAGTTTTGGGATTGAAAATAACGGGGTTTAATGGGATTGAAAATGAAGAACCTGATGTCCTAGTGTTTTCTTACATTAATTATTCCAGAATAACGGGGTTTAATTTGAATAACGGGGTTTAATGGGATTGAAAATGAGGAACCTGATGTCCTAGTGTTTCCTTACATTAATTATTACATTCACTTTTACTACGTGCTTGATCAATTGTTACCTCTTCATTAAAAATTGATGGAGCAGTTGCCACTCTCATAATTCTTAACTGTGCAGCCATTATGTTCATCCCTGCATTTTCATCCAAATCTGGGCAGAAAAATAAAAATGCTCTAGGAACGATTCATATTGATCTCATGCTTGTGTGAGTGAATTTCTTGAACTTGACAATGTCTTCAGTGACGTACAGCCATTTGCTTCAAGACAACGTAGCACGGAGAGCTCTAGTAAGGACTGTAAGCTCCTCAATAGTTTGAGTGCAGGTGAGACAAGTGACAACCTAGGTTGCATGACATGGACACGGATATGGCAATCGGAAAACTCAAAAATAAGGACACGGCAATTAAAATATAATAAATATTGCATATATTAAAAACCATATTTCCTATTCATAATATAACAAAGTACTCATATTCATCAAATTCATTCATCATACATAATAATTATTTTCGAACAAATCACCCTACATGATAATTAAAACACAAACATAATAATTAAAACAACACACGATTCAAGTCTCAATGATCTTCAAATCACTCTTTAAATTTCCTCTTGAACTTCATCGTCGTCATTAGTAATGATCACAGCCTCCAGTTCCGATTCATCAAGTGAAAGGTTTGCAATTTCGAGCACACCCGCATGCATACTCAAAGAATCAAATCCATCCCTACCCACATCTCATATTTTGATTTGACCATTTTTTATAAAGGTTGGTCCTCCTAAATAGAAGACGAACATTATTATGAACATATACCAAATCTTTGGCTCTTTGTGGTGCTATCTTATTCCCCCTAAATAATGAAATCAAACGTTGACCAATTTCTTTCACAACATGAGGAGGAACAAGGTTGTCCAAGAAGCTTCAAAGGCAAATCTTGAAGAGTTGGAGTGGAAGCGCCATGGACAATCCACCATTTTACCTGTTGGATTGGAAATCTAATAGTTATAGCATCACTACATGAAAAATCACCAAGATTAGCTGAAAAAGCAACATACTCCTCATTGATACTTCTCCTCTCCATTATTAGTAAAGTATTGCTCAAAGCATTTTTTTTTTCTTTATAGGTACCATTTGGTATGTGGGACGGGACGAAACGGAGTGGGATGAGGCGTTCCATCCCACTTTTGGTGCGCCTAAAACGGGTGGAACATGTTGTTCCACGGGACGAATTTTGGGTGAATTTTCGTTCTGCCTCACCCCTTGGAACGACTCGTTCCACATCCATGGAACACAAAATTATAACCTCTCTGTCTCCTTCTTCTTTCTCCTTGTTTCCATCCGAGGGCATCTTTGCTCCCTCTCCATTCCATCCCATCCCGTCCCGTCCTACTGGGATGAGGCGTTCCGTCCCACGTTTGGTGAGCCTAAAACGGGTGGAACATGTTGTTCCACGGGACGAATTTTGGATGAATTTTCATTCCGCCTCACCCCTTAGAACGACTCGTTCCACATCCATGGAACACAAAATTATAACCTGTCCGTCTCCTTCTTCTTTCTCCTTGTTTCCATCCGAGGGCATCTTTGCTCCCTCTCCGTTCCGTCCCGTCCCGTCCTGTCCCATTTCATTCCGTCCTGTCCCGTTTGCATACCAAATGATACCTAAATCTCATTATCACAATCATTAAAGCAAAGATTGTATCGGCAATTGCAAGAAGCTTCAACTTCGAACAAGAATTATAGATGGCCAATCTCATTTGGTGGTTCAAGAAAATATTTGCTCGCAGAGAGATTAATTGCCTTAATGAGGAAATACTTAGAGGGTTACTAGATTTAATTAACAAGAGGATTGAGTCGCACTCCGGAAACCATGATGGAGTTGAGAGAGAGAGAGATTGCCTAGCACAAGATCTAATTAGTAGTTGATTAATTTTATGCACAAAGTCGATGATCTCCTGTGTAATGAAAGTCAACTTTATAATCGGTTTAAATAGTTTAATGGGGGTGGAAGTTGCGTGCTTAGCTGTCTTCTGTGTTGCTACCTGGACTGCATTATATATATACATTGTCCATACTACGAGATCTGTTTATATATATTGCAACAATCCAGATACTTAAGGGCTGGTTTGGCGTTGTTGCGGTACTTATAAAAAAAAAAAAAAAAGTAACTTATTTATGTTAAATGCGTTTGGTAAATGAATTCCCTATTTGAATTACATCACCTCAAAGCAAATTAGACCAGATGGCGTGAAATTTACACACACAAAAGATAAGTTTCTTTCATTGCTTCTATCAACTAACATAGGATTTAGTGAGTTATTCAACTCAATCCATCCTAAGCACCAAAGGAGGTCTAGATGTTTAGCCACAGTTGTGCAATATAAATGTGTATGTACACCATATTTCTACAAAACTAGTCTCACCAGTAATCGCGACAAGAGCAATTGCCGTCAATGAAGTGGTGAAAGACCTTTGAATCTCCAACAATTCTCTCTCTTGGTGATTTCTGAAATCTTCTTTGCAGCACTATGACAGTCTTCACAGATTCTAGTGTTTTTCCTAACAACAACGGGGCGTCTGATTTCCGTAGAGATCAAACCAAAACAAATTGCCAATCTTACACCGTGACTCTCTGCGGAATTTGCTCTCTTTCCCTTCAAATCCAACGGTCTGAACTTGGTGACGTATTTGTCTTCCCCTATCTTCCTCAGAATCAAATATAAAACAGCATAAATCATGTAGGTTTCAACATGGGTCGTATCTTGGTTGATGTATCTGTAAGACCTACATTTGGTCTCATCAAAACTGCACGCGACAGTTTTCCGGAGTCCTCATTGCTTCATATGATATTTAAGCCGTTCTACATCTTCCCACCTCCCAGCTTCAGCGTACATATTAGCAAGCAAGACATAACACCCGGTATTATCATGTTCCAAGGATAAAATATGCTCAGCAGCAAGTTCAGCGAACTCTATATTTCTGTTGTTTCTACTAGCTGTCAGTAATGACCCCCAAATTCTGGCTGTGGGAAGCAGTGACATTTCATCCATAAAAATCTTGGCACTGTCAAGATTACCTGTTCGACCAAGAAGATCGATCATACAACCAGAGTGCTCTATTCCAGGACCAATACCATAGTCTCTTTTCATCGAGTCATAGTATTTCCAACCCTCATCAACCATGCCAGAAACACTACACGCCGTTAACAGGGAAACAAATGTTCTCTCGTTAGGTTGAATGCCATTGTCTCTCATTTTGGAGAAAAACTCGATGGATATTCTCCCAAACCCATGTATTGCATAAGCCATAATTATAGTGTTCCACGAACTGACATCCCTGAATATCATCCTATCAAAAACTTCTTGTGCCGTCTCCAGATACCCACATTTTGCATCCGGTTCAAGCGGAAGCGGTTCATTCAAGAGATTCCAAAATAGTTCCAAGGCTTCCCGGTTCTGTCCACTTTGTACATATGCAGAAATCATGCTATTCCATGACATCAAGTTCTTTTCAATTAGCTGACCAAATATACATTCTGCCAAATTTATCCTGCCGCAGGCACCATACATATAGATCAGTGCAGTTTCCAATAAAATATGAGGGAGAAAACCTCGTCTAATGGCATAGCCATGGATTGATTTACCTTCCAATAGGGCTCCTAGTTGTGTGCAAGAGGGAAGAGAATTGATCATTGTGATAGAATCAGGAATCAACTTATCTGCCTCTTGCATTTTTTTCTAGCAAGAAAGTGACTCAAGCAGACGAGCATTTTGAGTATACCCACGTATCATGGCATTCCAAACCACAACATTCTTGGTGCAAATCTCATCAAACAACCTCTCTGCATGTTCCACTCTACCACATTTGTGGTACATATCAATAAGCGAGGTCTGCACCATGACATCTGATTCAAGCATACATTTCAGCACCTGGCAATGGATTTCTTTCCCGGGTTGGAGAAAGCACTCAATAGCACAAGCATTAAGACTGCCAATCATACTGAATATATCAGGCTTCATCCCAAGCACCTGCATTTCCTGAAAACAAACCATCGCCCTCCAACAATCCCCAACAGCAGCATACCCGCCAATCATAGAATTGCAAGAAACCAAGTATTTAACAGGCATTTCATCAAACACTCTCTCTGCATACTCTATACAACCAAGTTTCGCATACGCAGCACAAAGCGAGTTACCGACATAAACATGCAAATCCAAACCGACCTTAGACAACTTCCCATGAACCTTTTGCCCTACATCCAACGATAACAACCTACCACAAGCCTTGATCACAAATGTGTAGGTATAATTATCAGCTCGAACACCTTCCCTTTGCATACTATGATAAAAATCAATCGCCTCCCGGAACAACCCATTATCAGCGAGACCTCTAATCATAACATTCCAGTAATACGTATCTGAATGGGACATTTTCTCGAACACCCAGAGTGCATCCTCCATGGATCCAGATTCAACATACTCCCGAAGAGCCTGTTTGAGCGCATAGTTGTTGAGGGGTTTAATCCAGGTGCTCGGATTCTTCGAAAGTTTTCGGATTCCACGAACCAATTTAGGAAACTTCGGCTGGTCGGAGCTTTGGTTTGCTTTGGGCTCAGCGGCTCGTTTTCGTAAAAGGCTCAGTGGCGAGGAGGTGGAGTTGTAGAGGTAAGAGCTGTGATTGTGCGCGAGAGATGCAGCCATTTTTAATGGTTTCAGGGGATCAGACGGCGCTGAGAAAATAGCCGTTGCAACTCATTACTCAATAGACAAATTTTCTTCCTCCTCCGTCTTCTTCTTGGCGGGGTTTGAAGGATAGCCGTTATTTCTGAAAACTTTTAAATTGTGGGAACTTCGAAGGAGGAAAACTTACATGACATATATCGCACTACGTGATATCTGTGTCGGTGAAATATGGACAAGTAGATAAATTTACACATGTCTTTATTATATTGGCACAGAACGACACTGAAGCAGTATACTTGTGTCATGTAAATCATTCTCCAAAGTGAAAAAACATAAAAGATTAATTTTGATAAATCGGTCATACCAACTCAGCATCAAATGGTTTTAATCTAAAACCCTAAGTGACATTGTTTCTCAATCGATCAAGTCATGCACCTTGGCGTGTTCTTTTTTTGCAACTGACATTATTCATCTTATTCAACTGTTGAATCACTCGTTTCCTTCTACAATGATGAACTATAGTCATCATGATGTAAGAGGATGGCTTGTTTATGTGATTGTTGATGATAGTATTTTGTTTTCGTCCAACAATATAAAAGACTAGGATTTGTACCTGCGCGTTGCTGCGGGATTGAAAACTATATGAAAGATTATGTGATTTCAATCTTCATAAACATTTATTGTCTAACATGATACTTATGGTATGGTTAAAGGTTTTATATGTTTCAACAGTAATTAAGTATGCTCCTAATGCATCCACTTGAGAAAAATTAGCATTTAATGTCTCCAAAGGGAACCTTTCAAGAAAGTGGTTGAGATAAAGTTGTTACAAAAACTTATTGTGAATGAATGCAGATTGGAAGCCAAAAGTAAAATCAAAACGGTTACAGAATGAAAATAAAATGTTGGAGTTAACATTAAACACTTTAAAGATTAAACCGGTTGGATATACATTGGGTAATCAGATATATGCAATGAAAGATTAGAAACTGAGGATTATGGGTTGTATATAAGTCAAATAGAAATGGATGGAAAATGAAAAAAATAGGAAGAAAAAGGTAGGCAGTAAGAAAACTAACAGAATATAGATATTGCAAAATGGTTAATATATTAAAAACTAAATGTTTCAATAGATATACTTGAACAAAAGAGGAAATTGGAATGCTGGCAGTTGCTAAAAGCGTAGAAGAATGAGGTGAGACGGTGACATGTAGCATCTGATTGTCGAGACAAAATCTGCAGTCAAAAAAGAAAATTTAAACATAAAGTTTATCTATAAAACACTGAAATAAGAAGAAGAATAAATAAAGAAATGGGCCACACGGAGATAAAAAGGCTTACCAGAAGTTCGGTTGTATGCCAATCGAAAAAGATTGTAGGTCTCAACTCAAAGTATACTTGGCAGCATGACCAGAAGATGTAAAAATAACATCACAAAATATAAACACCATTGAAAACACACAGGTTCCTTAACAACGAAAGCATAAAACGGAGAGTGAAAGAAAAAAAGGTTTGCGAGGTACAGAGAAGACCAAAGGGAAAGCAAAAAACGGAAAGTGAAAGAAAAAAAGGTTTGAGAGAGACAGAGAAGACTAAACGGGAATTAAAAGACGAAAAGAAAAGATAAACAGAGAAGGCAAAAGAACCAATCGATGATCATCAACACGTGGATGGGACAATCTCGTCCTTCCACTGTACCGAGAAACAGAGAATAACGAAAAAGAAAAGGAAAACAAAGAAGACACAAAGGGGCATTTAAGCCATTACACCGCTGGTGTACAGGTTCGAGAACAGAGACGATGAAAGCATGGGAAATGAGGGTAAAACCGGCTTTTTACTATTCAATCAAGGCAAAACACGGCTAGAAACAAACCAAACAGAGGGCATTTTCGCCACTCCACTGTCCGTGAATAGCAAACGGGCGTTTGAGTTTTAGTATCAGAAAACTATATAAAAGCAGAAATGGGTATGGGAAACGGAACAAAAAGCAGGATGGATATAGGGTGAGAAGCAAATCTCACGATGACTAACACGTGGTATGAGAGAGGCCCGTTAAATTCACTGTGTATCACATTTTTTAATATTTTTTTCTGCCTTCCCACCTGCTATACCTGGGTTGAAAAAATAAAGAAAGCATAAATTTTTATTGTTAGTTGTGCCACAAACTGGCCTTGTTTTAATCACAATTTTTTAATATTTTTTTTGTTTTCCCAACAACTATTAATGGGTTTAAAAAATTAAGAAGATATAAATTTTTATTGTTAGTTGTGCCACAAACGACGTGACCCTGTTTTAATCATATTTTTTTATTATTTTTTTTGCTTTCCCAACAGCTATACATGGGTACATTGTCACAGCTCGTTCCGAGATTTTCTTATTAAGGACGTGAAAGGACGAAAGTACCCTTGACGTTAATAAGGTAAGTGTGTGTGACATGTTTTGAATATTTCCTATTTCCTAAACTTTTGGAAAATAAATTAAATAGGTATGTATGTTTGTGTGGTTAGGGATTAAAGTTGAAAGGATTTTGGATGGTGATTATTGGAATGGACCACACAACACACACGTACAGGACCTGTTCCTTCCATCTTCCCCGTGCCTCTCTCTCTCTTCCCCTCTGTTCAGTCTCCCTCTCTCTCACTCTCGAACCGTACGGACCAACGCCAAAAACCCCTGAAACTTCGTGGATCGAGGATTTTGAAGGCACCATCGTACTCGTGAGGACTCTACGAACTCAACCACACTCATTTCAGGTAAGAAATCCTTCGTTTTCACGTTGAAAACTCGAGGTCCAAGTTTGGAACTATTCATGCAATCTTAATATGTCGATTTTCAGGGAATTCCAAGCTTGTAGTGAGCTTAGTGAGGTCCCAAGGAAGCTCGGAGTGCTTCGTTTGAAGGTTTTGGACGTCGGGATCACTGGGTTCGACTTTGGCCAATTTTCTTGGAATTTTTCCCGTGAGATTTCGTGATTTTTAGAGCCTTAAAGTAGTATAGTGTGAAACTACATGTTTAGGGCTTCATTTTGATATAAAATACGAAGAAAATGGTTGAGAAACGAAGGAGAACAAGGCGTTTGAAAATTGCCCAGATTCCGGCCACCGAAAAAACCAGTCCGGCGATTGGTTGAGGAAGAAGACGTGCGTGGGGGCGCGTAGGTCCGTGCCACCCACGTCGCGTGCGACACTAAAAAATTATTCTAAAAATTTGTCGACGTCCGTGACGTCGAGTAGGTCACTGTGGTATATTCATATACCCAAATAGAGCACCGTATGAGAAGTTATTACGAATTGTTGGTTATATGCTTTAAAATAACGTTTTTATAGTTATTTCGCATATAAGTGATACCAATCCCGAGGACGAGCGCATCCAGGGACGTCACGGGGGTTACGACCCTTCGACTTATCAGTGAGTGGGTAGTATTTTCTATTTATACCTATATGCTATTGAAATTCCCAGAAATTGAGTTTTTATGAAAGTATGTTTCTAAAATGCCATGCATGCATGATATGAATGATATGCGTTATATGATGTGATAATGGATGCATATATATATATATATATGTGAATTGGTACTGTGGACGCACAGGTGAGTATCAGGTGAGTTTATGTTATTCATGTGCATTGTTGATGTGTATTATGTTGATAGCTCATAACCTGCAATCATGGTGTTAGTGCTTATATTATTCACCTCGCACTGCACGCTCACCTTGGATCCAAGTAGGTGCATGTCGTACAGACCATGAGAGGGTTCCGACATGTCGTACAGACCATGAGAGGGTTCCGACTGATAGGTGACCTTAGATTGTGTACACAGATGATTGATGAGAGAAGCATTAGAGCGTATTATTACACCATTCTTGTCGTACAGACTACTTCAGGTAGTTCCGACTTATATGCAGTGTAGTGCCGTACAAGCCACCGAGGTGACTCCGGTTGGATTGGATGTTGAGCTATAGAATTAACCGTACAGGACCAACTGCAGGGTCTCCGGTTAATTCATTATTTCACCTGTTACATTGATGCATCATTCATTCTGTTTTTGAAAGTTTTTAACATGGCATACTTTCTGGTTTTTAAGAAAGATTGATGATTTGAGATTTATGAAAAGCTATATGCTATTATGCTATTTTCTGGGAAAGTATACATGTTTTACAGCGGGGTTAGAAATGTTTTAAATGAAAGGTTTTCGAAAAACTTTGTTTTATTGACCCACTCAATTTTGTTTTGCGCCCCTCCAGGTTCTAGTTAGCAGTTGGTGGTTGGCGAGGACTTGCACGGCTTTCTGACAGACTCCCCTAATGTAGGACTCACCTGCGGGTGTTGTAACTTAATTATAGTCCTACTTGACTGCACCTAGTTGCTTAAGCTTTGTTTATGTGTGTGTTCACACTTTAACTCACTCTAGCATGCTATTTGGTTATTCTTGCTAGTAATTGGTTTTTTATTCCTTCATAATTCTCCTATCTTTGCTTCCGCACCACACTTATGGTTATGTCACGTTCACGTGACGGCCAGCATGCCTTGATTCTAGGATCGGGGTGTGTCATACATAGGGAGAGCAACAGTAAAACAAAATAAGGAAACAAACAGAAAATTTAGAAGACAAAAAATTCAGAAGGCAACCCAAATAGAGGGTGACTAGATGATGGACACGTGGAGTGAATGGGTACAACAGTCATTCGACTGCACAAATGCAGAAACAAAGCAAAAACCGAGGGGCATTTCCGCCCTTTTACTATTTCTGAACAGTGTCGGATTCAACTGAGTTACAAGGTGAGAAGCAAATCTCACGATGACCAACATGTGGTATGAGAGAGGCTCGTTAAATTCACTGTGTATCACATTTTTTAATATTTTTTTCTGTTTTCCCACCTGCTAAACCTGGGTTGAAAAAATAAAGAAAGCATAAATTTTTATTGTTAGTTGTGCCACAAACTAGCCCTGTTTTAATCACAATTGTTTAATATTTTTTTTGTTTTCCCAACAACTATTAATGGGTTTAAAAAATTTAGAAG